GGCTAACATGTTCTTTAAATTTGTTAAACACACTCTCTTGTGAAATGGGAGGACTCTTATCTATATGACCAGAGTGCTGAACAAGACGAGAGCAATATGAGAAGACAAACTCATACCTAAGCCCATATTTTTGGGATCAGGTAAATAAGTTCATGAGATTTTACATAGAATTTTGTTTCTGTTACCTTCCTCTCTCATTGAAGAGGGGATGGGGACACAAGGCCTCATCTCATGGACAACCACTGATCAGTGGGCTGATTAATGTACTAGTGGTTCAGAGAGATGAATTTCCTATTGTTGATGGTGACGATAGATGCTGATGGGACATGAAAATTTATTGTCATGTTTATTTATTTTATTGATACTTAAGTTTAGAAGGTTAGTTTAATTGGTTCTAATGTATATGTAAATAATTTTTAAATTTTAAGCGTTACCCAACTGGTGACAAAGCAGATGGAACAGAAACTGACCTAAACCTCAACCAAAAGGTTAGTGGTAATGTACTTGGAATACTGTGAAATTTAAAACCTCTTCTTATTTGAAGTTAAGAAAATAATGGTTAGGGTGCAGAATGCTTGCAACCATTGAGTTATTGATACATGAGGGAGATTGATAAGCACGAAAGTCTTATGATGTCGTTATGCAACCCACAGGCAAATGGATCAAGCATATTAGCCAATCAAAGCATATGCTTTCATAAAGCTAATTGTTGTAAAACAGTTTAATCAGTTGTTACTTAGCACATACAAGTTGAAAAGCAATGACAAGCCGTAGGGGCTTTAATAAGATCTACAGCTACACTGTAAGAGGTCTATTCAGATGTTCAAGTGTGAGTCTAATGCTTTCATGGAACATTAAGCAGGAATTATCAAGCAGTTGTACATCATTGTTCCTTTAAATTTTCGTAACATTGTTAAGTATAGTTTTATCTTTGTTTTACCAACAGCTCTATTACCATGTTCTTGGAACCAGCCAATCTGACGATGTTCTCTGTGCTGAATTTCCTGAGCATCCAAAGTGGTCTACGTAAGTTACTATGTTTACATAACAATACATTCAGTAGATTTTGGAATTAGGAAAACTAAGCAACACAGAGCAAAACAAACAAACGAAAAAAAAAAAACGGGTACAACTACAGCAAGTAAAACAAACTACCTTGGAAATCCTTGGAGATCTTTTTGTCACAAAAAAATATCAATTGTGTACCCTGTGCAAAGAACTGACTTTGCATATTTTGTTGTGAAGTGTGATGTATTTTTACCCTGCTCAGCAATATGTGATGTTGTTCAGGTGATTGTCACAAAGTGATAACTGCACGGGCCATTGATACTGTGGTGCCAGAATCAAGAGCTAAGAGAATAAATCTCGCCACATTGAACGTTCTTTGGAGCGACTATAAGTACGCGAACTGATCAAACTTCACATTTTTTTTGGAAAGGAGGGGCTGGGGGTGTGTTGTGTGCGGTAAGGGGGATGGGGATTGGGGATTGTAAAATATGTCACGTGTTTAGAGCCATAATCGTGCTGGATTTTTTCGAAATTTTAGAATTAAACGGTGTAAATTTTAGCTCTTAAAAATAAACAAATCGCATGAGTAACGCGGAATTCTAAGATAATTGAAATTGAGGCGACTTGAATTTCACGAGGTTCTATAGCTAGGACACAAGAACACAGTGGAGCTATATTTTTTCATAGCATCGTGCTTTGAATCTCAAGTTACGAAGCATGCCATTTCAACAAACAGGCTCACATGGACATTTAACGACATAATTATTATTCTATGATTGTCTTACAGAGGTGCAGGAGTTAGCGACTGTGGAAGATATCTGATTTTAACCCCTCATGAAGGCTCTGCCCCATTCAATAGACTCTTTTACTGCGATCTCAAATATCAAGAGGGTATTACAGGTGAAAATTTTGTTATCTCTTTTTTGAAACATGTATATTTGACATTTTTGTCTGTAAAACAGGGCGGCTTTGCGTAAGGTTCCGGGAGAGTGATTTTTTTGAACCATAAAGTGTTATTACTCTCATTTTCCTAAAGATGTACAATACTCGTCCATCTTTGGTAAACGCACAGCTTTCTTTTGATCCTCCGTCACTCAAACCGAGGGCCAGCGGTTTTGGTCCTAGCACGGAGCATCTCATAGGTCGTGTGACACGTTGCTGCTCGACCTATGACATATTTGTGACTGGTCACACTTTTCACACGGACCTCGCTTACGTCACCCATCTGTCACTACGCACGAAATGCGTAATGACAGATGGGTTCTTGACTTTTTGTCTGCAGTTATTATAACGTTCTTTAGCTTTTACCAGAAGAAACCATTCTAATAATTTATCCCTCTAACTCCTAGGATACAACTGTCGATTCTCCCCCTCGAGAATTAGGCGTTAGATCAACCTTTTTCCTGATAAGTTTGGGCATTCTCGTTATCTGTTTGCCTGATAATGTTTGGATATTACAGGGAGAAGTTACATGTTAATCGTTAGTGGAAATTAAAGGATTGAGACGAATTCTACACTTTACATGGTATTTCTTTTTTTTTATTTTTTTGTGCGTGGCAGGTTTGCTTCCTTTTGTGAAGGTTGTGGACAATTTTGATGCACAATATGAGGTGATTAGAATGATAATTATTGACTGATAAAGGTGAACGAGTTTTGAAATCCAGTTTGGAGCGACTTCTCTACGCAGAGGGAAGTTGCAGAGATCTCCATGTAGAGGTACTGGGGAATTTGACCTACGTGTGATCAAATCTTTCTTCCGCTTCGCCCCTTCATTTGTGTCTACAATCCGCAAGCCTTGTCATTAAAAAAAGTGCTATTTACCTCTTTAAATATTAATGTATTTATTTGAAATTTGATAAAGGAAGAGTTTTTCCTCATTATTTTTAACAATTATTTTTACTCTTTAGTACATTACCAACGAAGGAACACTGTTCACCTTCAAAACGAATTTCAAATCTCCTAGATACAAGTTGATTAACATAGACTTTTCAAAACCAGAAATGGTGAGTGTTATTCTTGTACATGTAATCACACTTAAAACAAATCATAGGAAGAGTGTCTAATGGTTTTACAGTTTGCAAGGAAAAGAAACACATGATCATTGCCGTATCCTGAGAAAGAAAAATGTGGTAGCCAGTATCGACATGAGAGTTGAAAATACCATCATGTGAGGGAAATTTTTTTATGCTCTGATCTGGCTAAAAATTCTCATTACTTTTAGAGAAAGATGAGACTATTTAGCAGACATTTCGGGCTTCAGAGGCAGAATAGCTTTTACTCTGTGCTGGTCGCCCAGTTGTAGTCCAAGTTGCTTTCAAGGCCTGTGTTTGGAAGGCTGTAAAATTTCTGTGAATTTGCATTAATCAAGGGAAAACAGGATAGTAAATTATGATTTTGAACGAAATTCCTACTTTCATACACCAATGATCGTTATCATTGTCATTGTTGTTATGAATATTATTATTACTATTATTGTTTTGACGATCGTCATCATTATTTGCATATTTTGTTAAGGAAAACTGGACCACTTTGGTTGAAGAGGACGAGAACGACGTCTTAAAATGGGCTACCTGTGTCAAACAGAACTTTCTGGTACTCTGCTATCTTCATGACGTCAAGGTGGGCTATCTGTGTTTTGAACACTGCACGCGTTCTTGAAGCTTTTTAAGAGAGAGATGCGGGCCTATCCTTTCTAAAAGAAAAATCGAAAAAAAAAAGAGAAACCAGCCTGAAACTTCATCTCCGCTGATTTGGTCTAGAAACTTAGGCTAGCACTTCAAAGTAAATATACAGTATGTTAAGTAAAGATGTTAGTATTAATTCTGTAGTGAATCTTGCCTACAGAGCATTCTTCGTCTTCACAAAATCACTGGAGAAAGACTCATGACCTTCCCACTCGATATCGGCAGCATTGTAGAGCACTTTGGAAAGCGGAAGGATTCAGAGGTAAGCAGTTCCAACACTGCAATAGTCACTTACTAATATGTATTTCACGGATGAATGTTCCATCGATTTTAATAATTATTCATCGGTTTCTATATTTTGTACTCAGTTGCATATTCTTACTTTAAGGCAGGTATAGATATACGGGATAAAAAAAAATTACCTGCAAGGGGACACTGTAACCTGCACGAAAACCTTTTACCCATTCACGGCAAAAAAAAAGAAAAAGAAAGTAAAGCTGATCATTAAGTCTAAAGCTTAGGTGTTTATGTATTTAGTGCAAGCCAATACCTACATAACGCTTTCCTTGCGTTAATATTTGCTTACTTTTTCTTTCTTTCAGATTTTCTACAAGTTTACTTCGTTTCTGACTCCTGAGGTCATCTATCGTTGCGATTTGACGCAGGAAGATCCCCAACCCAAGGTTTGCATTTGAAAGTCAGCTCAATTCAGTCACGGTCCTCTGAAATGTTCTCGACCTCATGTCAGACCCAGTAAAAGGTCTTAGGGTGTTTTGAAACAGTGTATTTTCTTGGCAGGTTTTTCGTGAAACAAACGTGAAAGGGTTTGACTCAAGTCAGTACCAGACTGTCCAAGTGTTTTATCCAAGCAAAGATGGAACCAAGATCCCAATGTTCATTGTTCATAAGAAGGTGAGTGCTAGAACCAAACCCAACAGCCTCCTCACAGGTCAACCCTTTTACTTCCAAGATCTCATTAGTAATTCTCCTTACTGTCTGCGATACAATTCTTATGATGTTGGTTCTGAGAATTTGATATTGAATCAACTAATAATCCCCTAACTGTAATTTTTATTTATTCTCGTTACTTGTTTGTCTACTATTGTATTGATTTGGTAAGGAGAAACTCTGTCTTGGTCACTCATGGGAGTTAAAGGGTTTAACAGACGGCAGTGAGAGGTCTTGTTGATGGTGGTTGACCATCCCTAATTAGCATTCTTTGAGACCCCTGTTATTGTAACTCAACTCCGCCTGCCATTAGGATCGTGTGTTCAACCAGACCAGCGGATAAGTCAGGATGCAGTTGTCTTGTTGAACAAACGATCCTGATGGTTTTTGTTCTCATTATTGGTTTTCTTTCACTAATCCCAAGTATATAGTCTGTCGTTGCTTTGTTCTTTTTTTTATTCCTTTTATATTCATGTAGTATGAATAACAATTAATTATCTTATTTCTTTTGTATTTTTATTATTTGACTTTTCAGGGTATCGAGTTAGATGGAAGCCACCCGCTTTACTTATTTGGTTATGGAGGGTTTAACATATCAGTCACGCCGTCCTTCAGTGTGTCAAGGATCGTGTTTATGAGACATCTCGGAGGCATCATCGCCATACCAAACCTGAGAGGTGGAGGGTAAGTCATATATACATTACCACACCCAACCTGAGGGGTGGAGGGTGAGTTATATGCTCATTGCCACGCCCAACCTGAAGGCTGGAGGATAAGTTACATGTACAGTACCACACCCAACCTAAGAGTTGGACGTTAGGTCACATGTACATTGCCCTACCTAAGGTGAGGGGTGGGTTAACATATGTTCGTTGTTACACCAAACTTGAGGGGATGAATGTAAATCACGTACAATGCCATACTCATCCTCACAGATGGAGGGTGAGTCATGTACCTTGCCATGCGTAGGGTAAACGCAGGGGGGAGGGAGTGAAAGTTAGAGGTACGCTGCTTCATCCAACCTCAGGGGTGAAGGTTGATTTAACACTACATTAATTACATTTTCCTGAAGTTAAGGTTATAATTGATTTTTTTTCTTGGCAGTGAATATGGTGAAACTTGGCACCAAGCGGGCTGCTTTGGCAACAAACAGAATGTATTTGACGACTTTCAATACGCCGCCATTTACCTCACCCAACAGAAATACACATCGCCAGAAAAGTATGTTTATTGCTCCGCGCATTTACAAAAAACAAACGACGTGAACACT